AGTTCTGCCTCTAGAGAGCACCAGAGCCACTTATGATTCATTTCATGATTCTGAAACTATTACTCCCTCCAATGACTGTACAAAACTAATAATAATGTGCACTTGGATACCTAATCCTTCATGGCTACTGCACAATGCTTAGACTGTTTATGCTTGGAAGTCAGAAAAACATGTTGCCTGAAAGGCATTAAGATCCATGGGGTCACTTAAAGCTATTGATTATATTTTCATTACTTATCTGTTGGCACTTAGGGAAGGCATTTCCAGATAATTGTCTTCGGTATGGCTGGTCATTAGTCTTCTAATCTGTAATTTAGACACTGATGTCAAGCTAAAATATCCAGTCCTTTGTTAAGCTTTGTCTCTTCTCACTTGCCCAAAGCTATGAGCAAAATAACTACATTGACAATAACAGTTATTATAATTAAATTGCTCTATCAACCCATTTACCACTCAGTCCAGCCTAGTGTTGCTATTAAACTCTCTAGCTGTCTCTCCTATATGCTCTCGTATCACCCAATACATATCTTCACCATGTCAGTATTTACTTGCTGAGGAGGTGGCCTTACCCTACATTTGAATTTCTTAAAGCTTGTCTTAAAGACTAGTATCTTATAAGTCTTTGGTTAGATCTAAGTTCCCAGCACTTAGCAGTATCTGGCATTTGGTGCCTCTCACTGTTGAACAGGTTGTTGCAAAATTAGTTGTTTTCCTTCTTTGGCATGAACCTTAAAGGTTAGAATCACCATTTAAAAATTTCCTTTCCATAAATTTACAAATATCTTTTGAAATCTGTACTTCCAGCCTTTATCATGCCTGAAAATCTGACCTGAAAATGTATCAGCTCAGTTTAATCACTGCAATAGCTTCCTATCTTGAAATAATCTGCCTGTTTCTCCTTCAGGCTACCAGTTTTGTTCAATGCATCCTTTAACACAACTTACATTTTTAATCCTATAAAAACAACTTGCTGCTCTAAGAATAAAGTATTAACTTTACACTAGTAACGAAGGCCATCCTTTCCCTTCTTTCCTCATTAATTTTCAATGAAAAATTTATTGAGTTGGGGGTCCCCAAGATCATACTGAGGTTCAGTGACACATTTGGAATCATGACTCAGAAAAGCTGCTATGCTTCCAGTTATAGTTTATTCTAGCAAAAGGATACAGATTAAAATCAGTAAATGGAAAAGGTACAAGGTGACAATCAGGAGAAACGAAGCACACTTCTGACAAGGAATACTCTGTAAAATAAAAGGACTTAAAAATATATAAAAAAAATAAGGAAATAAAAAGGCATAACAAAAAACTAACACAAAAACTGGATTAAAAAAAATTAATGTCAAAACCAAGAAGAAGTCTGAAAGATATCATGTAAGAATGATTCTCAGCTCCTTCATTCCCCAAATGATGCCACTAGGAATCAGATGGCATACTGTTAGCTAATGAAAGAAAACTCTACTGGTGAAATGCTATTTTGCCTTTATCCTTAGAATTATGCAACTTACACACTTAGCAATCTTAAAACAAACAAAAAATAGATGGGGAAAATGATTGACATGAATTACATTCATTTTAAGAAGACCATTTCTAGTTGTTTTGAATGAATCCAGACCCATAAATAATAACTTAGAATACTGAAAGAATCTGATGAAGTAACACATGCCCTTGGACAGTAAATTTGAGTCAAGATGATTTGGTTGAGGTAGATACAGACAGACACAAACTTCACAAGGACAAGAATACCATTCCCTGGCTTATCCACAGTTTTGGGCACAGTGCCTGGCGTGTATTAACAGCTTGATAAATGTCCCTGACAAAATTCTAAAAAATCAGTTTTTTTGAAGTACGTGGACATGTAGAAAAGAAAGCAATGGTCACTAGAAAGCAGCAATGATTCACAAAGACTAACCCCACGTCTCATAGTTTCCCGCTATACAGAGGAATGAAGATTACATCAAAGCATCTGACCAAATTTCACATCAATAATCCCTATAAACAGGATGGAGCATAAGTACTAGCATCTTATAATTAAATGAATTTGTCACTGGTTTAATGAGAGCACTATGCTATTTAATAAGTATCAATCTAAATGGAGATAGCCTTAACCTGTCAACATTTTTTTCAGTACTACTTGAAGACAGAAAGCAATTTTTATTAAATTTGCCCATGACTTAAAACTAAGATTCACAGCCCAAGCTTATTTTAAGCCCAAAATAAGTAAAATTAAATTTAAAATAAGTAAATCTATGAAATAAGGTAACGACTATACAAGTACAGAATGGAGAGGTTGCTCTTTGCATGTGAAAGATCTAGGTTTACACTTTCAAACTCCTTGAATCAAGACTGTATGATGACATAGAATTTGTTAAAATAGCGTAAACTTATACATATTTTCCACATAACCTGAACTCTTCATAACTTATATAACCCTTCTCTTGTAGAGATATGGTAGTCAGTGGGACAGACTCTTAAAAAGCTAAGCTGACAAGACCTATATTTTAACTTTTATACAATGGCCTTTGAATACCTAGAATAGTATTAAGTAGCTGTTTACCATTATGTCCTCAAAATCACACCAAGTGTTTAAAATGCAGTCTAATGCTACTTTTTGCAACCCAAGAAGATAGATGTTATTATCCTTATCTTGAATAAGATTCTGTGTTTGAATTCAATTCTGTGGGGTTAGAGAGACATCCCAGCATATAATTGCTAGGTCTTTTAGTAATTCCATGCTTTCCTTCGCTGTTTAGTGACTATTCCTTTATGCTTCATTACAGAGCTGCTGAACCACATCAATGAGTAGGGCCCAAGAATATTATTAAGGCACCTCAGGTAATTATAATGAAAATGGCCTACAATGTGCCTTTGGGAATTGCATTAGATCGTCTATCATCAGGCTTCTGATGGATACTTAACAGACTTTGAGACTATACTTTCTGGTAACAGGCAGTATTGTATAAAGAGTTGAAAGACCTAGTTGAATTTGAGCCGTTACTTACTAGTGCTACCTCTTATAAGGTACTTGACCCTGCTGAGCCTCAATTTTCCCATATAAAAAATGGTCATTGGAAGCACTCAGCGTCAGGCCTGGCACATGATATGCACTCAATAAATGCTACTTACCAATTTCAAAGATGAAGGCCCAGAATATACTGTAGTGTTTGACCCTGCTGAGCCTCAATTTTTCCGTATAAAAATGATCATTGTAAGCACTCAGCATCAGGCCTGGTACATGATATGCACTAAATAAATGCTACTTACTAATTTTGAAGATGAAGGTCCAGAAGATACTATATTGTCAGTTAAGAGTTGCTTTACAATCCTAGCTACTAAACAGTCTGGTTCACATGCCATATAAAGGGACCTTACTTTCTCATTCACATGATGAATACTAGGTTTACATGGTTGAGAAAAATGTTGACAGTTATTCTGCATTTGCATTAAATACCATTTAAAAATTTTTATCATACTTACCTTACATTAGCTTAAAAATCCAGAAGGATGTTATAAAGGTATTACACAGGATATTTAAGCAAATATTAGTAAAACTTTCTCTCTTGGTCTTCTGTGATCAAGATTTGTAATATTTAAGCCCAAACGGTAAGCATGTGAGGCCAAGTTATCAAAGAGCTTTATTTTAGATAGTATCTTGTCGGTTAAAAAGAAAAATAAAAAGTCCTTTTGGCAGTTAATTGCCCTTTCCAAATAACTTTAATGAAAATATCTTGCCAAGAAAAATCTCTTTGATTCATTAAGCTGGGTTTAGATTGTGTCCCAGTCACAAAGCACAGAGGTAATTACAGGTTGAAATTGATTTGTGCCTCTTTATAAATAAGAACTGATTATAGAATAAATGTTGCATTAAATATAAAATCTTGTCACTGTATATTAACTATGTGAGTACTCATGGTTGTGGCTCCCTTACAATTCTCAGGCAAAAATAAATCCAATATAAATTGGCTTTAAGCATAAAAAGTCTACCATGTGCATGTATCCAGGAATAAAGAATTACATAGATCATCTGGCCTGTTACCATTCACATCCTTCACAACTATTCATGTGAACAGTAATTCACATTTTGGGAATGCTTTTTCCAACATCAACAGGAAAATACAGCTTTATAAAGTGTTTCAGATTTCAAGAATACATCACATTAGAAACCCATTACCACGAGGGACAAGATTGGTTTTTATTTACTTGTTTATGTATAATTTGTGTTGATATGTCAAGTATTTTGAGAAAAGATCTGACTCTGAACTTCATTTGTACTGTTAGAATGCATTTTTCTTAGCAACTGATTGATGTGTATTCTTATTTGATTTTTGGAATTATTTTACCAATTAAAAACACCATATACTAAAATAATCCATTCACAGTCCCTACTTAAATTTGCCTGTATGCCTTACTCACCTTGCATCATTTCATTACTAAATTGATTATAAAACATTATACTACAAATGCCAAGTATTTATGAATAGTCAGTATTAGCTAACTTCTCTAATCCTCCCAGAGACAGCCCTTAACATCAACAAAGTAATTCTAGGGATAGTGCTTCTCCCTTTACAAGGCTGATTTTGAGTGAGGATGTTTTGAACTGCACATTTTTTTTTTTTTTTTTTTTTGAGACAGAGTTTCGCTCTTGTTGTTACCCAGGCTGGAGTGCAATGGTGCGATCTCGGCTCACCACAACCTCCGACTCTTGGGTTCAGGCAATTCTCCTGCCTCAGCCTCCTGAGTAGCTGGGATTACAGGCACGTGCCACCATGCCCAGCTAATTTTTTGTATTTTTAGTAGAGATGGGGTTTCACTATGTTGACCGGGATGGTCTCGATCTCTTGACCTCGTGATCCACCCGCCTCGGCCTCCCAAAGTGCTGGGATTACAGGCTTGAGCCACCGCGCCCGGCCTGAACTGCACATTTAAGTCACATTTACATAAAATCAGGTTTATGGAACTAATGAATCATGAAAAATTTCTGACAAGAATGACTATCGCTACTTCAATATAAATGAGTTTATTTACTCACATTTATAAATAACTCTAATATTAGAAATTCTCCAATTCTTAAAAAATTAAAAATTTAAGACTACACAGAATCAGTTTTATTCAGATAATATACTGTCCGTAAAATTCAACATTGACATGTTCATATTACTTTCATACCTAACCAATTGGGTATCAAGAGACTTTACCAATCATCTCTGTCAATTCTACTATTCCTAGTCGTAATATTCAAGTTGGAATTTTGGCCCAGTCTATTAAAACCTTGTTAGCATTCTAGCTTTTCTCAAGCAAACACATTTGTACCTACCCGACCTCAGTGCTAGGGAGCAACTTTTATAAGTACTAGCAAACCACCACCAGTGGAATCGGATAAATGTCGTTGATTCAAAGAACTCCTGAAAAGATTTACCTTACGGTGACTTTCCTAAATATCACGGAAAGAAAACACATATATCCTGTACTACTACTGTTATTGAATGCCTGATTTACGTAGCACACAAATTTCTCTTTTCCAGTAGTTTCCATAAATACTAAAGTATCAAAAAGTACAACTTTTTTCTAGAAGTTTTCAAAATGACCATTATATTTTCACACTATTTAATAAAAGAAACCAAACTACCAAACTTATGATTTAGACAAAAAATTTTCAATAAAATGCAGAAATATTTTAATTTACATATTATAATAAATCGATAAGGAGTCAAAATCCAGTTACACATTCATAAAAATTCCATACATCATCCTCAGAATAATCAGTTTCTGTACAAAGATTTATAGATGTCCAAGTATGTAGTTTTTCCTCAGTGTGCTACAGAATTTAAAGGTTCTGCTCGAATATTCCCCAAATCAAGTGCAGAATCTGTTTCTTCATCAATTTCTCCAATGACTGCACTAAAAAAGTCAGAGTTAAAACAATCACATTTCTGAAATAAATTTACATGTTTCAAAAATCTTACTAATCAAAGCACTAAGTACCATCTTCCAAAACAGAGCACAGTAAAAAGAACTAATTAAGGTACAAAGCAAACAACACTGGCATGAGTCAGTGAACTGCACATTTAAGTCACAAAATTCAAGAAATAATTTGAAGGAACATTATTACAGGAACCAGTATTAAAGGACATATTGTACATAGTGATTGTATCATGAATCTTTAAAGGAAAAAGACACACAGGGACAGATATAATACAGAACCCCAAACTTCCAAATCCTATGATTTCAATTCAATTCTAGGACTATAGTTAAAAAAAAAAAAATAAATAAATAAATAAATCATAAAATCACTCCTAAAATAATTAGCAAGTAAAAGTATCTATTATTTGAGTAACTTTGACGAATTAAACCAATGATAACCAATGATATATATTAAATTATTTTCATAAGTTTTCAATTAAATGCAAAGCCAAAATGTACAGTTCTTTGTGTATAAAAACAATAGTAGGAACAAGTACTTTGGTACTTAACAAATCATTTTTTAAGTGACTGGCTAGGGTTAAAGCTAGAAAATTTTTCCTTGTTCAACACTAACACAATAGCTGTAACATGAAATTCATTAATATCATGCTAGATAACCAACTCATGGCCCTCTAAATGGAAATATTCAATGTTATCATACAACAAGACGTCTATAAAATATTTTTTAAAAAGCATTTGTCGGGTTTATATTTGTTTGGTTTTAATGAGAGTAAGTTCTCTTTTTTTTGAGATAAGAGTTTTGCTCTTGATGCACAGGCTGGAGTCCAGTGCCGCAATCTCAGCTCACTCAAACCTCTGCCTCTCATGTTTAAGGGATTCTAACGCTTCAGCCTCCTGAGTAGCTGGGGTAGCTGGGTTTACAGGCGCGTACCACCACACCCAGCTAATTTTTTGTATTTTAGTAGAGATAGGGTTTCACCATTTTGGGTAGGCTGGTCTCAAACTCCTGACCTCCGGTACTCCACCAAGCTTGGCGTCTCAAAGTTCTGGGACTATAGGTGTGAGCCACTGCGCGCAGTCAAATTCTAAAGATGAATACTCGTAATAAGAAATTTGCACAATTTTGCTTTATACTACATAAAGTCTTAACTTCTCTAACAAATGAAAAATACCAACTCTGGCAGAACAAATTAAGTTTTCTCAAAATAAACTAAAGGCCTCAATTCCACTCTTAAATATTTAGTATCATTTAAAATCTCTATGGTAAGCAGTGGAATAATGATAAATGTTTAAAAACTAGCTCTCTGCAGGAGCCTGATTTGCAGCATTACTAACATTGTACAAACACTCCCACCTGGCCAATTTCAAGCTACTAACAAGACATCAATCAAGTAGCTTGAAAAATTCCTTAAAATATAACAATCTGCTTTCATGAGCCAGTACAAGCTGGCTCCAGCACAACATTTTCACTGAAGTTCAAGAAAAAAAGTTGTTTTATATAAAAGAAACCTTAAAATCAATGAATGCACAGCCCCAATATAAACAGTGTTGTTCTGATCCATAGATGGGCCCTATCTGCTCTGCCTCTCTCTCATTACTTACAGCTCACCTTGTAACTCCACCCAAGTCATCTCTATAAAATATTTTAATAACTCTTGATTTTAATTAAAGATCAAAATATTTATTTATCTCAAGGTGATGTTAACATAAGCAACTTAAATGAGTAAATTATTCCTTCACTCTTTATTTAAGTTATTCTAGGGGACTTCTCTGTCCCCTAGAATAGCCTTAAATTTGCTTAATGTATCCTAGCTTAAAACTGCTAATATATCTTTTGCTTCTTTACAACTATATTTTGATTCAATGTAGTACTCACTAGAAAATTCATTCAGTGTTCTTCTAGCCTCTATAACCATACTAATATTGGCCACATGTAACTATTACAAGTAAAGCCAGATGCAGTGGCTTATGCCTATAATCCCAGCACTTTGGGAGGCCAAAATGGGTGGATCAGGAGGTCAGTTCAAGACCAGCCTGACCAACATGGTGAAACCCCATCTCTACTAAAAATACAAAAAACTTAGCCAGGCGTGGTGGCCTGTGCCTATAATCCTAGCTATTCAGGAGGCTGAGGCAGGAGAATCACTTGAACCCAGTAAGTGCAGTTGCAGTGAGCCAAGATTGTGGCACTGCACTCCAGCCTGGGCAACAAGAGCAAAACTATGTCTCAAAAAAAAAATTTATTTACAACTAAATATAATTTAAAATTAGTTCCTCTGTCACGTCAGTCACTTTTCCTTTTTTTCCCCACTGAGATGGAGTTTTGCTTTTTTTGCCCAGGCTGGGGTGCAACAATGCAACCTTGGCTCACTGCAATCTCCATCTCCTAGGTTCAAGCGATCCTCCTGCCTCAGCCTCCCGAGTAGCTGGGATTACAGGCATCACCACCATTCCCAGCTAATTTTTGTATTTTTAGTAGAAACAGGGTTTCACCATATTGGCCAGGCTGGTCTCAAACTTCTGACCTCAGATGATATGCCCGCCTCGGCCTCTCAAAGTGCTGGGATTATAGGTGTGAGCCACTGTACCCGGCCCACATCTGCCACTTTTCAAATATTCAAGACCCATACATGGCTAGGGCTACTGTACTGGAAAATGCAGATATATGACATTTCCATAATCATAAAAAGTTCTTTTAGAAAACACTGCTCTATACTGTTACAGGCTTTTCTTAAATTGCTACCTTTAAATTACTCTTAAACTTTTTTTTTTGAGAAGGAGTCTTGCTCTGCTGCCCAAACTGGAATGGAGTGGTGCAGTGTTGGCTCACTACAACCTCCGCCTCCTGGGTCCTAGCAATTCTTCTGCCTCAGCCTCCAAAGTAGCTGGGATTACAGGCTTGCGCCACCACGCCTGGCTAATTTTTGTATTTTTAGTAGAGACATGTTGCCCAGGCTAGTCTCGAACTCCTGACTGCAAGTGATCCACCCGCCTCAGCCTCCCAAACTACTGGGATTACACGCTTGAGTCACCAAACTCAGCATTTTTTTTTTTTTTTTTTTTTGAGAGAAAGTCTCACCCTGTTACCCAGGTTGGAGTGTAGTGGTACAATCTTGGCTCATCTCCACCTCCCGGGTTCAAGTGATTCTCCCACCTCAGCCTTCTGAGCAGCTGGGACTACAGGTGCACACCAGCACGCCTGGCTAATTTTTGTATTTTTGGTAGAGACAGGGTTTCACCATGTTGGCCAGGCTGGTCAGGTCAAATTCCTGACCTCAGGTGATTTGCCTGCTTTGTCCTCCCAAAGTGCTGGGATTACAGACATGAGCCACCACGCCCAGCCAACTACTCTTAAACTTTTTAAACTGCCTTTCCCAAGTAAACTGCGGCCACAGAGACATCTTAAGTGTGTCAAGTATACTAAAAAATTAAAAGAAAATGAATAATGGGTAAGTACTTATTTATAAATACACCTATATGACTGAGCATGAATTAAAATTGTTTAAATGAGAGATTTCATAAACATTTTTCAAACTTTTGCCTTGGACTCTAGAATATGTTCCTCTAAAATTCTGGGTATTTTTAAGAACATTTTATTTATTTATTTATTTATTTATTTATTTATTTATTTATTTTTTGAGACGGAATTTCACTCTTGTTACCCAGGCTGGAGTGCAATGGCGCGATCTCGGCTCACCGCAACCTCCGCCTCCTGGGTTCAGGCAATTCTCCTGCCTCAGCCTCCCGAGTAGCTGAGATTACAGGCATGTGCCACCATGCCCAGCTAATTTTTTGTATTTTTAGTAGAGACGGGGTTTCACTATGTTGACCAGGATGGTCTCGATCTCTCGACCTCATGATTCACCCACCTCGGCCTCCCAAAGTGCTGGGATTACAGGCTTGAGCCACGGCGCCCTGCCAAGAACATTTTAATAAACCTCTTAATTAAGTATTTAATATAAGGCAGGGCCCTTTCTGGACTCTATCCAGGCTACTTATTTAACTAGTAGAAAAATGGGCAAATCTCAGGTAAATGTTTGATTTGTAAAGAGATAGCTTTGGTTGAAACCTGAAGAAATGTTGACATAAAAATGTATAGATTAGTCTTACTTTATGCAAACATAAGAAAAGCCATATTTATAAAAGAAATGAATGCAAGATTCCATTAACTATGTATGGATAATACAGTAGACTATTCTGGGTAAAACCTCTTCCACATAAAGCAAGGGAGTATCACTTATAATTTTAACAGATATATTTTACTTACACATTGTCACCTCTTACAATGTATAATCCTAGGACTACTTGCTCTACTCCCTGTGAAGAGCTGAATACTCGTTCATGGCTTTCATCCAAAATCAAATTAATAGTCTGGTCAAAACCTTTTAGTGTTCCCTGTAAAGAAAATATTCAGGAGAAAAAGAGAAATATTCTGGTTTATCTGAAAGTGTTAATTCAACCTCACAATCATTTTAGTTATTAGGAACTCCAATACAAGTACCTATACGATGTTAAATAAAATGCCTTTTTTTATAACCAACAGTATTCGAGGGTACAAACTGACCTCTTGGCTGTTTGGTTGGGTGGAGGGACCTGCACCACACATCTCACTCACGTGCAGAGCTGATGACAGTTACAAAGGACACCTATGTACTACTGTATTTCCAAGTAAGTAGCATAAAAGCTCATGTAGTCCAACAGCCAAAGGTATATACTATAACAAAGGAGATTTAAAATAAAATGATAGGTAACTATATATAAATAAGGAAGAATCTTACATACCAACTACGGTAATGTAACAGTATCACTGTATGCTACATACTAGCACTAGGTAGTGTGCTAAACACATGGTACATATTGTCTCAACTCATCTCTACTGTTTAATACTATAATTAGCCCCATTTCAAAGAAGAAACTGAGGCACAGAGTGGTGTCTCTTATGGTCACATGGGCAGTAAGTGGCAGAGCCAGGAGGTGAACCACAAAAGGCTAGCTCCTGAGCCAGACCAGTAAACCATTTCATTCTACTATTATACACAAGTAAAAATAATTTGCCATTTTTCAGAGAATCAAATCAGTCCCATAAATATATAAAAAATTTAACTAGTAGTTACAGGTAATACCTAATGAGTACTTACTAGTTACCAGAGTTCTGTGTGTCTCAAATGTATTATTTAATGCATATCAAATACATTTATTATTTAATTTTCCCAGTAGATACAAATGTGCCTATACTAATTAGAACCAGAACTTGAAGGAAATAATCAGGGAAGGTTTTATGAAAGCTTAATTTTGAATAAAAAAAGACATGGGTCTAGCACAACAGATTAACTCAGATGGTATTCAAGTTTCTGAAGAAGTATCAACTAACATTGATTTTGATTGGTTAAATCTCTCAAGCTACTAAACTGTTTTATCTTCTGAAAACCAAAATATATAAAATGAGAATGAAATAAAAAGAAATCTATAATTTGGAAGAGAAAATATGAAGTCTTTCTTGAACTAGTTAACAAATGGCTATCATAAACACCCATTCATAACCTCCTGGCTTCATTTTATACATAACTATCCCATCAAATAAACTGTGTGTCAAAGAAATAAAGAACGACTGAACTTTAGAACTTAAGATGCTCTTTTTATATTACTTTCCTTTTTTAAAATTAAAACTGATTTCCCAGTTTATTATCTACTCTGTTAACAAAGATTAGAAAATTTAAAGTTTTCACAAAATTAAAAAAATTGAAAATATCTATTAATAGCAATAGGCTTCCTGAAGTGTTGAGATTAAAATATGTAAAACTGTACGTATTTGAAAAAAAATACAATGTGAGGCACCTAAGGAAACATGACTGCTTCCTTAAGAAAGAAGCCAAGCAATATGCCTTGGCTTTGATGTCAAACCAAATTTATATCCCAGTTCAGTTCTGTCACCTGCTATCCTTGTGACTCTGGGAAAGTGCCTCACCTTCTCCGAGCTTGTTTCCTAATCTACAATAGAGGGGTACTTATTCTTCACAAGGTTGTGCTGTACATTAAATAATGTAGCACATATGCACCTGGCACATGATATAAATTTAGTAAATGGCAAAGCCAGAACTTTGACTATTAACAGTCACTAAGAACCCACTGGGGTGGGGGTGGGGGGGCAATCACAAGGCTTAAAAAGAAAATGAACAAAAACAAAATTGCAGAATGGAAAAATAAGGGATTAAATTATTTAAGAAACTAGGTAAGGTTAGAAAACAGAGAAAGTTTAGTAGCCTTAAAGTTCTTTCAAAAGAATTAAGAGTATTAATTGTAAGTGAAGAAATAAGCAAGTATCCAAATACCTTGAGATAAATTCCTCAGATGAAATTCCAAATACAAGTATTGCCATAGGAACACTTTATCTTTGTTATATGACATAAATTAGCAAGGGAGAAACAACTTTAAGGAACAAGCCAATTTTACATATATATGTGTGTATAGAGAGAGTCAATCATCCTGTGTCCTATAGAAAATGTCATACAACCTAAAAATAAACAATATTAAGACTGCATACAAGCCTTAAACGTTGATATGTAGATATCAATAGTATCTAAATCACAAAAAAAGTTCTTAAGCATATGTAAAATTTCAAAAAATTCTGATTCATGTAGTACTGAATGGGGAAGAAAATAAAAATGGAAGAGGAAGATAAGTAAGTTTAATAAAGGTCTGCAGACTAGGAGCTCTCTGAGGGCAGAATCTATTATTCTAGCTCCTGGAAGCCTTGTGGGTAAGACACAATATGTATTACTAAGGAAAATGCGGATTGACAGCAAAGTGATAAAGAGTTAAATTATAATAAAACTGCACTACAGGTATAATGTGGTGTCTAGGCATTAGAGATCAGAGGTTTCATATAAAACCTGCAACCAATAAACGTACAGGAAAGCAGAGAATGAAAATTCCGAAGACTTACCACAATCATTCTCCCATCAGAGGTAATAACAGCAACAGTTCCTGATAACTCAATCAAGGAAAGTGTTTCTTAGTGAATACAATCTGAAAACAGACTTTGGCAAGGTAATGATTTGAATTATTAGAAGATATATGACAATTAGGTAAAAGTGATTAAGATAACCACTAAGTTCACTACATAAAAATGTTACAAGTTTTTGGGACGCCAAGGCAGGAAAATCACTTGAGGTGAGACTAACTTGGGCAACACAGTGAGACACCCCCCACCCCCGTTGCCGGGCAACAGAGCAAGACTCTCGACTCAAAGAAAAAAAAAATCCTTAAGCTAATGTTTTATGTTTGTGATAATTACATGATTAAAGAGAAAAAAACAGAAAAAGAAAACCTCTTTCCGTACGTGATCAGTGTATCCAGTGTATCCTATCTCAAAATATCCTGGGTTTTTGACACTTTTCTATCAGGAATGTTGCCAATCTATGATTTTTGGGCAGGATATTTCGTTTCTTAGGCCTATTTCTTCATTTCTAAAATGAAAATTGGATGACTACTAAATTAATCGATGTTGGACGATTTTCAAGCATGTTAAAAAACTGTCTTCCAAGACAGTCTTCTGTAATTCAAAAAAAAAAAAAAAAAACACTATATAATCAGTGTCACAAGGTACCAATAATGCCCACATGATTAAAAGCATTCGGTATTTAATTTGTCGTCCAGTTTGTACATGAGCATAAGACTTTAAAACAGTAACACTTGGAAAGTCTATTTTAAGACTTCCCATGCGGTTTTTTGTTACTTACTACTCACTACAATCCAATACAATAGAGCATGCATTTTTTTTCATTCTACCAACAAGTTGAAACAAGTGGTAAAGGGACAGAAACCAGGTCTGTGATCCATCGTTAAACTTTTTGCTATCCTCAAAATAATGAGCAAATGATATGAATAAAACAAGACAAAGATTTTTAAAACTGCTGTCGCCGCCCGGACGACTGTTCATCTTATTTGCAAACGTGAACACATAAGTCCTACAGAAATAGTAAAGAAGAATCAAGAACGTTATTTATTTTTTTTTAAGAGAGAAAAGTTCGGGATAATCACACTGGGTTTTTATTCGCCTTTTGCAGACGGAAAGGAAAGGACCCCTGGGCCCGCCGCAGCTGCAGGCTCCAGCAGCCGCCAGCGAACTCTATGGGTCGTTCCGGGGTCTTCTTCCCCTCGCCCGCCCCCAAGATCCCGCCGCGGCCGGGCCTCCCAACCTCCCACCGATCCTGACTGGCCGTGTCTCCGTGTCCCCGGCTCACGCCCGCGGCGGCCACCTTGAGGATACGGTTGATGTAGTTCTCCAGGGCGGACGTCATGCTGCTCTGCCCGGCAGTTCCGGGTTACAAACAGAGTTGCGCCGGCGGTACGCAGAACTGAACGGGCGCGCCAGAACCCTGCCGCGGCTTGCGCGTGCCGGGCCGCAGCAAATGTCGCGAGAGTTGCTGCCGCGCAGCTGCCGCGAATCGGAAATTGGAATGAACTGGCCAATCAAACAGAAGCCGCACAGCGGCGAAGATAGAGCGCGCATACGCAGCGTGTTTTCGTTGTAGTTCCGGGCCGTGTTCTGGAAACCGCGCGAGACAAAAGCGAGCGAGCGGCGGACAAAAGTGAGCGAGAGGCGGAAAAAGGAAGAAGCTTCCTGAAGGTGGCGTAAGAGAGAGGGTAAGAGGGTGGGTTTTCTATCTGAGGAAAGGTCAGAGTGGTGGAAGTTACTAAGTAAGAATGCTGAGATGAGGCAGAGCAGACAGGAAGAAACGGGGTAAGGTGTTTTTATTAGGAGTGAAGGAGGAGAAGAGACAAGTACTGTTGTGTGAAATGCTGTTGCGGGTCGGGGAACCTAGTTTTCTGCAGCAGGAGGCGAAAATAACACTAAAAATAAGTTGCGCACGTTGTAAGCACACAGTATAAATCAACAATGAAAAGCACGTTCGTATGTTCTGCTTTTGTTTCTAAAAGTACTCCCAGAGGTGCTGTTACTTTTTAGAGAAACTAAATGCAAATCGACAAAGGTGTGTGATCATCCCTTAGAAAGCGAATAGGCACGCTTCTACCATGCCACGATGGTCTACCCTTCCCTAGGGTTTAATTAGTAAGTAAAAGGCTCCTGCAGCACCAAGAAAGGACTGATGCAGATAAATACCAAACTTGCTTCTCATCTTGGCTCTGCTAGCAAATTGATGTCATTGTACGAGTCACATCAACTCTTTGTCCTCAGTTTCCCTACATGCTGCCATAGATATCATTTAAGATATTTCCAGACATGGTACTAGAAAATGCCACTGTGCCTATGTTATTTACTGTGGTGCCCTAACGAGAGAGCTGGAAGTTAGAAAAAGATTTATACATAAAACACCAGCAAGAGTGATTTCTTTTCTTTTCTTTTTTTACAAAATATCTTTATGATTTCAGTTAAACTTGTAATTTCTTGAGAATTGTGGTTTTGGAATCACTCTTGCAACCTCAGCAGATTTCATTGGAAAAGGAAGCATTTCTTAATTAGAGCATACCCACAAAATACCTGCAAGATGACTACCAAATAGTTAATATTTTATATTCTGGAGCTTACTCCGATCTGTTTGAAATCAAATGTAGTCAGGAATTAGATTGTGAATGTTTCATATTCTCAGGGTAACAAATGAAACCGTCTTCCATAGTGAAACAACGGAGATAATTGTGTGATTTGTAAATGTTAGGGGTTCAACCAAAACCCACAGACTAATTAATGATTAACGAGGTATTAGTAAAGAGTCTTGTTAAAAAAAAAAAAAAAAGAAAGAAAGAAAGAAAAGAAAAAAAAATGCTGCTCATGGTGGTGAGCCTGTAACCCCAGCTATTCCGGAGGCTAAGGCAGAAGAATCGCTTGAACCCGGAAGGCGGAGGTTGCTGCGACTCACACCATTGCACTCCAGCCTGGGTGACAAGAGTGAAACTACATCTCAAAAAAGAAAACACGAAACGCTGTGTGATCTTATAAAAATGAATACTCCCTACAGTTTTTTCATCCCTTAAGAGTGTGCTTGTGTTTTGAAAATGTACCAGAAACTGGTGACTGGTGGGGGTGGCGTGGGTGGTGGTGGTGGTGGTGGTGGTGGTGAGGAAGGCAGCAAACCACCTTGCCATGTGTGTACCTATGTAACAATCCTGCACGATCTGCGCGTGTACCCCAGAGCCTAAATAAATAAAACAAAATCTGAAAAAAAAAAAAAAGAAAATGTTTAACATTACATTGTAACTTATGAAACTGCTTTCATCATAAATACGTTATAAGTCTATGGCCTTGTGTAGCTTTCATTAAATTAAAATGCCAGATAAATAGCAGATGTACAGTGTTTATGGAGCATCACAAAATATCTTTGGCTTTTTACATGTGTCTTAAAGCCACTGTATTTTCTGTAGTCTGTAAGGATCACAGATACAGCAAGAAAGCCTATGGATAAAGAAAAGTCCATTTATTAAGACAAAAAATGAATTACATCTGGATGCAAACATTATATATGTGATTTATCTATATTAGCCATATTCCCTTGGGAGTACATGAATGCAGAGAGCTTAGCATCTCATAAAGGAGAATTACATTAAAGCTCCACCAAGGAAAAACTGATACATGTAAACATCTGACTACTAAAAAATTGTGTTACAGTGAAACTTTCCCCTTAAGTCAAAATCTCTCAAGGTAATGCTCATTTAAATGACGTATCGCTGATAAAGTATCAACCAAAGTATGCTTGAAATAGATAATTTTATTCCATTAGTTCTGAATCTAAATCTTGAGCACAATGCATTAACCTAAAGGATCAGACTGCTAGTAGAATCTGAGGAAGCTGAATTTGCCCTTCTCTGAATAGTTTATGGAAAACTATCACAATAGCAATTTTTAAAATAATATTTTTAACCTTAATATGATGGGAACTTTTATTTCTTTTTATGCTTTTATGCTTTACTTCCCTACACGTTGCAAGGGTGTCAATCAATCAGTAATATATATTGAATAGATCTAGCTAGGATTCTAAGCAGAAAGGACATAAGTATATCATGTGTCTCTACTTACAAGGAAATTTCTGAATAGTTAGAGAGCTTTACTTATAAAAATGAAATAATTATTGCATGGAAAAAATGAATATTCCAGATTATAGATGAAGGTAAATGATAGTCTTCATTTAAACTGTAAATTACAAAGTGCTTTACTTATTTTTTCATTTAGGATAATAAAGATGGGTAGATTTAACTCTATTTCTTAAGGGATGGAAAATATCAAATATAAGTGATTTGTTACTTGAGAAGCAGTTTAGGATCATTATTAAGAACACTGACTCAAGAACTGTCTGGATTTTAATTTGTGTAACTTTTAGCACGCTTAACCTTCTGTGCCTGTGTCCCCATCTGTAAAATGGAGAAAACTACACAGAAGTACATCTAGTTGTTGAGGAACTAAAAGTAATACTTGAAGAGTCTTATATATAGTAAGTACTCAGCATTATTCAAGGACATAGACTACACCATTAAAAACCTTTTTTGTTAAGTCACAAAGCTTATTCCAATACAATGTTTTGTTCGCTGCCATTTTTTTATGATTAGACAGATTGAGTTGTATATACTTTTAAGTGTTTAAGGAAGGGAAAGATGGATATGAGTTAGAAGGTTTTACAAAAAAGATAGGACTTGAATCAGTGCTTAAGAAGAAGTGCAAATACACTTTAGGAAAATGAACTGACTTTTTTTTTTGAGTTGGAGTCTCCCTCTGTTGCCCAGGCTGGAGTCCAGTAGTGTGATCTTAGCTCACTGCAACCTCCGCCTCCGAGTTCAAGTGATTCTCCTGCCTCAGCCTCCTGAGTAGCTGCAATTACAGACATGCACCACCATGCCTGGTTAATTTTTGTATTTTTAGTAGAGACGGGATTTCACCATATTGGCCAGGCTGGTCTCGAATTCCCAAACTCAGGTGATCTGCCCACATCAGCCTCCCACAGATGTGAGCCATCGCACCTGGCACTGACATTAATATTTAGTGGGGGTAGAAACTGAAGATAAAAAGGCCAGCAGGAGTTCAGGTATGAGTTTCTGATTTGTAGCAGTAAGAATGGAGAGGCATGTTCTGTGCTCACAGAGGTTAATAATAATATTAAAAGAATGGAGAGGCAGAAAAAAATGTGATTTGAAGATAGAGCTTAAGAAAGGAAATGGGGCCAGATCCAGTGGCTCACATGTGTAATTTCAGCACTTTGGGAGGCTGAGTTAGGAAGGTTGCTTAAGTCCAGGAGTTCAAGACTAGCCTAGGCAAAATGGTAAAACCCTATCTCTACCAAAAAAAAAAAAAATTAGGTGGGCGTGGTATCATGCACCTGTAGTACCAGCTACATGGGAGACTGAGGCAGGTGGATACCTTGAGCCAGGGAGGTCGAGGCTGCAGAGAGGCATAATGGAGCTACTGTCCTCCAGCTTGAGCAATAGAGTGAAATGCTATCTAAAAATGAAAAAGAAAAGAAATGAGGGAGACAGCAAATTCTAGGTGGCATAGTGTTTGGTGAATCAGAGGTTAGCAAGATTAGGGAGACACAGAAAAAGGCAAGACTGCTTGGTAAGAAAGTAGATTGGGCCAGTCTGTAGAACCATGCAAACATGATGCACTTGGCTCATTAGCCAATGGCGAGGTCACATAACATACTGGTTATACTTACACAGGCATATGCTTTACCTTAAAGATCTGGAGAATGAGTCTGTCTCAGGAGTCCCACTGTTTCACTTCATAAAGGGCAATACATATTAATAAAATACTTATGTATACTTTTATGCATTCTTTATGGTGTTTTTAAAATTTTTATTATTAAAATTTTTAGAACAGGTGCAGTGGCTCACACCTGTAATCCCAGCACTTTGGGAAGCCAAGGTGGGCAGATTGCCTGAACCCAGGAGTTCAAGACCAGCCTGGGAAACATGGGGAAATCCCATCTCTAGTAAAATACAAAAATTAGCTGGGCATGGTGGCACACACCTGCATTCACAATTACCTGGGAGTCTGCAGTGGGAGGATCACTTAAGACCCGTGAGCCATAATCATGCTGCTGCACTCCAGCTTGGGTGACAGAGTGAGACCTTAAAAAAAAAAAAAAAATCAGAATGTCTTGAGTTAAAAAAATTTTTTTTTTAACCAGCTATTTTTAATTCACCAAATCCTCGTCTCTCTTTACATTATTTTTATTTTATTTTAGAAACTGTTTGGGCTACTATAACAAAATACATTAGACTGGACACGTTATAAACACCAAAAAATTATTTTTTACAGTTCTGGAGGCTGAGAAATCCAAGATCAAAACAACAGTAGCTTCTGTGTCTGATGAGGGCCTGTTCCTTATAGGTGGCAATTTCTTGCTGCATCCTCACATGGCAGAAGGGGACAAGGCAGATCCTTTCAACCTCTTCAGTAAGGGCACTAATCCTGTTCATGAGGGCAGAGTCCTTATGACTTACTTCCCAAAAGACGCCACCTCTTAGTGGTATCATATTGGATATTAGGTT